CATTTAAAAATGTTTAAAACAAAGGTATGAGAGTTCGTTGCTCACAGAAGCGGTATCTGGTTGCATACATTCAAAAGTAGACGAAGACAGATATTTTGAAATACTTTTCCTTCTTGGATTGTTGAAGGTAAATTCTTTGAAGTGCTGTGGCTTCGTTAACAGCCGATAATATAATTGGCGTTTAATTTAATACTGGGGAAAACTTCAAGGCAGGGACGCGATGTAGAGAAACGAAACCTTTCACGTGACTTCAGACAAACTTCTTTTATTAATTAAATTTTCCTCCTAATTTCATATCAAAAGGAATTTCGCATAGGCTCGTTGATTTCTTTTTCGTTGCTCAACGGCTAATTTCTTTGAAGACAAGGTTTTCATTGGTCCAAAATGTGCGACTCTGAAAGTAATACTTACTGTTTTATTATTCTAGCCTACATTAGTGTTAGACGTTAGTAGAATAGCAGAGGAGGTAAAACCTTCTAACAATTAACTCTGTTCTTTATTCTGTTTTTTTTTTTTTTTGCCTTTTTACAGATATCAGTCTGGCAAAATGTCGCCTGACACGAAAGTGCGAATGAGACAGACGTGGGTCTCTGAACTCCTTCATTCGAAAAAGAAATGCACTCTTAGTCATTCATCGACGCTTGTTGATACATTTACGGAAACCAAGGAGTGGGTATGAGAACAGTTAGGAGGTTGGTAATGCGTTTCAGCAGTGGCAAGAACGATATATGTGACGAGATTGCTCTATTCAGAGATGTTATTTCCCTCCTCCTAGTTTCTGCGGAAATAACTAAGAGATAATACTTTCGAAATATCACTCGCATACTGAAATAATAGTTAATGAGGTGAATGATAGTAAAAAGTTTTAATTATTCTTATTCATTTTAATCTTTTATTCGTATTCAGTTTTAATCATTTATTCGTAGCCATTTTTAAACCTTTATTCGTATTCATTTTATATCTTTTATTCTTATACATTTTTAATCTTTTATTCGTATTCATTTTTAATCTCTTATTCGAATTCATTTTTTCTTTTATTCGTAGCCATTTTAAAACCTTTATTCGTATTCATTTTATATCTTTTATTCTTATACATTTTTAATCTTTTATTCGTATTCATTTTTAATCTCTTATTCGAATTCATTTATTCTTTTATTCGTAGCCATTTTTAAACCTTTATTCGTATTCATTTTTAAACTTTTATTCGTATTCATTTTATATCTTTTATTCTTATTCATTTTTAATCTTTTATTCATATTCATTTTTAGTCTTTTATTCGAATTCATTTTTTCTTTTATTCGTAGCCATTTTTAATCTTTTATTCGTAGCCATTTTTAATCTTTTATTCGTAGCCATTTTTAATCTTTTATTCGTATTCATTTTTAAACTTTTATTTTTATTTTCAAATCTTTATTTCAAAATATAAGTAGAGAGTTACATTACAACAGTAAAATAAACATGAAAACTTTAATCAATCATATCGATATAATCGCCATGCAATGAACTAAATTGGTGGACGGATTATATTGAACCAATTGCTAGATCTACTGCTAGGAAAGTGGATTCATTGTGTCGTCCCAGACAATTTGTCTCGACAGAATCCATTTTGCACACTTAGAAATCTACCATTCCTTCATGCATTGAATATCGTTGCCATATCCGATCTGGTGCGACAGCTATACAGGGTGCGATGGATAAACTATCGTCTAAATTAGGCAAAAATGAAATTAATACTGGCATCTCATTTTAACAGATATATAATTACCAAAATTGCACAAAAATATCTTGAAATAGTAAAGAGTAAATTTAATCAATAAAATCGCCATTGACTTCAACCAGTGTCACCAGACAACTTCGGAATCTCCTGCATCTCTTCAAAATGGGCTCCTTGTTTAAGTTGGTTAATGCTGCCATAATTCTTACCTTCAATTCATCTTTGGTATTACAAGGAGTTTTTGTTGGTCCCTCACTCACTTGCACCCATACATAGTAATAAAGGGGGTTGCAATCTGGGGAGTTACGTGGCCAGATGTAAGGGGGGTGATGTGGTCGCAGAAATTGCCTGACGACCATGATTTGTGGGTCTTCTTCTTGTGTAGCATGGTGCAGAGTCCTTTTTCCTCTTTGTTCTGGCGATATTTCCTCCTTGGTGCGTGGATTGCATGAATTTAAGCGTATTAGATTGGCAACTGGCTTTAGTCGCTTTGCTGTTGAAATAGCTGCATGTAAGTTCTATTCTAATTGTTTCTTTTCTCCCACTTCTCGTCTGTGGAACTCTCTTCTGGTTTCTTGCATAACTTGTCAACTGTAACTTTCAAAAATTGTAATGCAACGCCAATCGCTATCTTCTGTCTTTCTGAAATCTGTTCTTTTATTACCCTTTTCTCCTCACTAACGTCTTCTCGTTTTTCCGTCCAAATAACCCATTGCATCTAAGTGGCGTTATCGCCTTTCTTGGACTGAAATAAGATTATTCGTGCACCATGTCCTCTCTGGATCCAGTTCATCAGATTCCAACCAATACCGTATCACCGACGGACATTTTTTTTTTTCATTTTTTTTATCTCGCTTTATTTTATTAGGGACAGTCGACGGAGCATTGTTTCTAGAAGAGAGAGAGAGAGAGAGCGAGAAGAGAGAGAGAGAGGACACATGTTAACCGGTTGACCAAAATCTCGTCGCTACGTGCTGTCTTGCATCGCTTAGTATATGGATGCGGGGGAGGGCACCTCGAGGCGGTGTAATGGTTGGCAAGCTTAGTTCGCTAGAACAATTACGACTGAGTAGTGAGTTCGATCCTCACTGGGCGTCCCCTTATTTCAGCCTTGTGCCACGTCTAAGCTACGCTTTCAAAATCACTATATGGATGCGGGGAGGTATTTTCATCTTCCTAATTCTTGCAGCTGCCTGAATATCTTTGTGCCTGAGTGTTATGGTCTTTTAAGAAAAATGACAAGAAATTCAGGCAGTGTTCACTTTTATATTTATATTCTTTGAATTGTTTTTCATTGTTCACATTGTCTCGATGATCAAGGCTATAGAACCCAGTTTCTTAAAATTGTATTTTGTAAAATATTCTTGATATCAAAACATCAACAAAGAAAACTCATCACTGTCAGAATTCCACACAGAATTTTTTCTGATTTTCCTATCACCCGAAAATTAAAAGTAAAAAAAAATATAAAAAAAAACTCAGGTGAAGCAAATGAAAGCGACTTTCACAAAAAAAAATGATCTACGGAAAAGTCTATTGAAAAGTAAATATAATCTACGCCAATATCCTCTGAATAGAAAATATCATCTACGCCAAAGTCCACTGAAAGGTAAATATCATCTACGCCAAAGTCCTCTAAAAAGTAAATATCATCTACGATAATGTTCTCTAAAAAGTAAATATCATTTACGCCAAAGTCCTCCAAAAAGTAAATATCATCTACGACAATGTTCTTTAAAAAGTAAATATCATCTACGTCAATGTCCAGTAAAAATAAATATCATCTACGCCAATGTTCTCTAAAAAGTAAACATCATCTACGCCAAAGTCCTGTGAAAGTAAATATGATCTACGCCAAAGTCCTCTAAAAAATAAATATCATCTACACCAAAGTCTCCTGAAAGTAAATATCATCTCCGACAAATTCCTCTGAAAAGTAAATATCATCTACGCCAAAGTCTTCTCCAAATGTAAATATAATCTACGACAATGTCCTCTAAAAAGTAAATAGCATCTACGCCAATGTCCTCTGAAAGTAAATATCTTCTACGACAAGGTCTTCTAAAAAGTAAACATCATCTACGCCAAAGTCCTGTGAAAAGTAAATATCATCTACGCCAAAGTCCTCTGAAATGTAAACATCATCTCCGACAAAGTCCCCTGAAAAGTAAATATCATCTACGCCAATGTCCTCTGAAAAGTAAATAGCATCTACGCCAAAGTCGTCTGAAAGTAAATATCTTCTACGACAAAGTCCTCTAAAAAGTAAACATCATCTACGCCAAAGTCCCGTGAAAGTAAATATAATCTACGACAATGTCCTTTGAAAAGTAAATATCATCTACGTCAATGTCCCCCAAAATGTAAATATCATATACGCCAAAGTCCTCTAAAAAGTAAATATCATCTACGCCAATGACCTCTGAAAAGTAAATATCATCTACGCCAATGCCCACTCCCGAAGATGATATGATGATTCCAGTTGGTGGGGTTGATTTTTAAATTTGCAAAGTAATCAAATTTTAAGATTTTCATATTTCAAATTAATAAATCAACTAAACATAAATTAATATTAAATCATTTATTCCGTCGACCGGAATGCTGTGATTTATGCTTTAGCCAAGAAAATAGAAATTGTTAAATAGGTTTTCTTTTTGGCAAGGTGTTTTCATCGGAATAAAAATATTAATCATAAGTTTCTTATTTGATTTTAATTCATAAAAAAAAACAGGGGAATGAAAAACAATACTTTAATGACGTTTGATTAAATACAAAATATTTCAACAAAAAAGGAAATAACTTTAATTAATCTTCGAACCTTGGCAGAAAAAATGATTCAAAAATATTCTCATTGTTCTATGAATACTATATTTTTAAAAAAATGTGTTTCTCATTTGAAAAGTGAATAAAAAGTACAGAGTGCAGCAGAGATACCTCCTACATTTTCAAAGTTGACAAAAAGATTAAGGTAACTGATGTTACAAAGATTATTCAACTGTTGTTTGGACAAAGGGCTATAGTTTTTATTCATTTGATTTTACAAATGGCATCCTCAAAATGGTGGCCTCTCTTCGCTATACACTGTTGTAGGTGATTTCTAAAATTTTCCGTGACCGAAAACGTCAACATTTTTGTAATGTCATCATTTTTTCTTCAACTCACATGTTCTATTCATTTTAGATGTTGTTGCTGTTCAAAGTCCTTAAGTGATGTGGATTTTGTTATTTAGTACAGTTCTTTGATTGTACTTCGGTAACGCTTGTCTACGAGGTTCGAAGAAGAATGTTCAACGAGTTTCGAAGAAGGACGCTCCACGAGGTTCAAAGAAGGACGGTCCACGATGTTCAAAGAAGGACGGTCCACGAGGTTCGAAGAAGGATGGTCCACAAGGTTCGAAGAAGCACGCTTCACGAGGTTCGAAGAAGGATGGTCCACAAGGTTCGAGAAGAATCGTCCACGAGGTTCGAAGACGGATTGTCCACAAGGTTCGAAGAAGGGTGGTCTACGAGGTTCGAAGAAGGATGGTCAACGAGGTTAGAAGAAGTACGCTCCACGAGGTTCGAAGAAGGATTGTCCACGAGGTTAGAAGAAGGATGGTCCACGAGGTTCAAAGAAGGACGGTCCACGAGGTTCGAAGAAGCACGCTCCACGAGGTTCGAAGAAGGATGGTGCACAAGGTTCGAAGATGGATGGTCCACGAGGCTATTTAAGAACATGACTTGAGCTTTCCTGTTAATGTTTCAGTTTTGTAGCACTTTGCGGTGTTCGGCAAAACTACCCCTAACGTATCAACTTCGATGCATGCAATGTCTTTCTTTTTCGAGTAACTTGTAAAAACAACCACTTTAAATTTAGAGTTTTACCTCTAAACTGGCTACCAGCCAAGGCTAAAAATCCCATTTTCCGCTGATATTTAGCATGTAACAGGAGGATTTCACTTTCATTCATCATTAAGCTGTATCACACGGATTATGTAAGTAATTACAAAATAAGCGTAATTATAAAGCTGCCTTATTAGATGACCCATATTTATGTCTTTGTGTCAAAATTAAAACCATGCCGAGTAAATAATTAGATATCAAAATGGCCATTCGTATGCTGTTCACGTTTCAATGACAGAAAAAAAAAACCATGCATAATTTTAAAGGATTTAATGTTAAACTTCGTGGTTTTTAAATATTTTGCATGAAAAGCGTCCTCTTTAATTTAAGTCACAGCCAATGAGAATCTCAGGAATAATGAATATTTTCGATATATGACTTCATTGACAAATATAAAAAAAAGTTAACATAACGAAGGAAGAAAATTACTTCAGCTCCCAGCATATGAACATGAATATTCAAATATATCAGTTCGCCTAAACTTCTGTAGAGAAAAGATTGATCAGATATTTTTATTGATCAACAGGCTTTTCATTTCATGGATCTCATGAATTGATATTTTAATCAGTCGCATTAACGTCATGTCTCAACTACATACATACCCTCGCACGCACGCATATATATATATATATATATATATATATATATATATATATATATATATATATATATATATATATATAAATTTACAGACAAAAATGCGAAATCGTTCATGCACAAAATAGGACAAACTCAATTACTAAATTGCTTAAATATTTAATTTTTTAACGATTTGGGTAAAGTTTGCACACACACACACACACACACTCATACACACGCAAACACACACACACAGAGATAGATAGATAGATAGATAGATAGATAGATAGATAGATAGATAATTTAATGAAGACAGGCAACTTTAAGGGCCATGGCTATAATTTATTTCACCAGGGAGTTCCTTTTTCCCTGGATTATCAGACCTCATTTCCAAGGTTGGAAACTTTAGATGTAATATATATATATATATATATATATATATATATATATATATATATATATATATATATATATATTGTGCAATTGGGCAGCAAACAAGTTTCGTTAAAGACCACTAACAAGGTACAGCGATTATGCTTTTATTTATTTTTTCTTGTGTTTGTACGTGTGTTTTCTTTTCTGGGCACAAAGTGTGTAAAACTGTCCAAAAGTACTGCATATGCTAGCGCTATGAATACGGCCAGAATATACTGACTGTGCTTAGAAAAATAAAGCACTCCTATAATTTTAGACACATATAATAATGGCTAAAACTATAACTGAAAGCGCTCGGATATATATATATATATATATATATATATATATATATATATATATATATATATATATATATATATATATATATGTGTATATATATATATATATATTGTTTAAAATGTAATACATTTATGAAAGAAGAGTGCTCATTATCTTGTTTAAATATGTTGTAGATATAAATAAACAGTGTGAAGAAAAAACATCAATACTGACTATCAGTTTCGGACTTACATATGATTGTAAAATTTGTTTACGCACACACTCTCTCTCTCTCTCTCTCTCTCTATATATATATATATATATATATATATATATATATGTATATATATATATATATATATATATATATATATATATATATATATATATATATATATATATATATATATATATATATATATATATATATATATATATATATATATATGATGCTTACAATGTGCTACGTCTATGTGGAAAGTTTGTTCACTATCGGTGTCAGATGTTTTGTAGAAATAAACAGGATGGCCTAAGAAATCAACACTGCTTGATGACTCTCTTTTTCAGACTTAGGCAATCCTCTGACCAGGAAATTTTTATTTACGCTCCTGCTTCACTTTCTGTTTGTGCGCGAGCGTGTGTGTGTGTGTGTTTGTGTGTGTGTGTGTCTCTCTCGCTTTCTGTGTGTGTGTGTGTATATATATATATATATATATATATATGATAAATTTCTCATAATAAATCTGTAGAGATGTCAAATTAAATAAAATAGACAATCGGAAAATAGTAATTAATCCTTGCCAACGAGTTTCGTCATTTGACTTTATGAAGGCAAGTGATGATAAACAAAAGTGAAATATTGCGTAGTTACATGAAATTTTTAAAAGACCCTCCTGTGTAAGCCTCTTTTTGGAAATTGGTATTTTTTTTCTTATTTTGACTCATAGTGTGTTTTTGTTTTTCATGTCGACAAAATACTATTTTCCGAGTGTCGATCTAATTCAATTTATCATCTCTACAGATTTATTCTGAGAAATTTGACACATTGTCGACACGGAAAACCAAAACGCACTCTTAGACAAAAAAAAAGTTACTAATATCCAAAAAGAGGCTTACACGGGGACGTCATTTTAAAAAAATGGCAGAATATTCAGAAACAATAACAGAGTTGAAAACGGTCTTTCAAACATCTTTTGGGGTAAAGAAAAAGAAAAATTGATTTCGCATGTCAACAGGAAACGAAACCGAGATTATTAGGAAAAAGAGAAAGCAGTGCCAACACCCAAACCAGGACACATTCCACAGGAGCCATTGTTTTGTATCTGGTGGAATATGAAAGGTGTTCGTACTGATAGGGTAGAGACCTTTACTGAAATGTTTATTGCCATGAACTTGATTGGATAAACGAAGAATTACGCTGAAAGTTTTAAGCTCTTCCTAAGTTAATGGGGTAATACTTAAAAGCTCGAAATTTGAATTCGGCGAGCTGAGTTCAAATTCCGGTTGATATCGTTACATTCACTTTCCCACAAAATCCAGCTATTCTCTCTTTACCTATGAGTTAAACCGTAGGGTAGACTGGACACTCTAGCCGTGGTCGACAACTAGTATAGAAAGACAACTTTGAATTCAAAACCATGTATGTCCGGAGTTGGGCATATACTTGAAATGCAACTAAGGATTGCTCGGCATAATTGCATTATAATCAAGAACTTGGTTATTTTTGTGTTGATGAATGGGCCTGATTGTAAATGAGGAGCCATGCTGAAGATGAGAAATCACCCTTATTTACTATGTCGAAACAGCTGTGATGACGATGAGGAATGACAGCTTCTCTCCCGACTCGGAATCGTTCATTCTCACTAGATTTAACACCGAAAGAGTATTCAGAAACAAAAAATAATCTTCCATAATCTTCCGAGGTAAACATGAAAAACTGAAAAAAAGCAATCATGATTGTCATTCTCAGGGAGACTTTTATACCACAGAAATACACAGAACTATATATACATATTTACACGTGTCCCACGTAGAGAAAATATAACATATTTACACAGCAAGCAGAGTGAAAGAAAAACGAAAAGATAGCGTCTTACATAGAATATGGAGATTCTTCCGTGTATCTGGAGAAGCCATGTTTATGACACCAGATTCAGATGCACCGAAATTATCAACTATGTCTCAGGCAAGGACATATTCTACAAACAGGAAATGGTGAGTCTTGGGTATTCCCAAATTGAAAACTGCGAGCCGAGGTTTCTTTCTATAACTGGGGAAGTTATATTCCCAAATAGAAACAGCGGAGTATTCAGAAACTAAAATGGAGTTGAAAACGGTCTTTCAAACATCTTTCGAGGTAAACATGAAAAACTGATTTCGCATGTCAACAGGAAATGAAACAGACGGAGATTATCAGGGAAAAGAGAAAGCAGTCAACACCCAAACCAGGACACCTTCCACAGCAGATATTGGTGTTATGACGAGCCACTGAGAGGAAAGGGTCCTTACTTCAGACGTTTATTGCCATGAACCTGATCAGTTAAATGATGCATTACTCCGAAAGTTCCTTGCTTTGGTAAAAAGCAAAAATGTTATTCATTAGCATGGAAACTATGCAGACGTTTATTGCCAGCAACTTGATCGGCTAAATCAAATATTATGTCGAAACTACATTTGCTTTGGTAAACTGAAAATTATTATTATACTATTTTGTAGTATGATAATGGAAAGGCAACTCAAGCTCAAGAAAAAAATAAGGTCATTTAGATGAAAGTTTCTTCCTTATCTTCCATATTCGCCAGAGTTAACCCCGACATATGTTCATCTGTTTCGATCCCTAGAACATTTCCGAAGTAGCAGAATATTAAGAGACAAATAAGTAATTTAAAACAAACTTTCAACCTTTTTTCGTGGGTACGGAACCTAAGTTTCTTTAAATATGCAATCAAAATGATATCTTTTCCTGTTGGGTTGCAATCGTTGAAAATGAAGGGGGGTTACAATTATCTTTGCTTTCGTAAACAGAAATGATTTTATTTTCCAGTATAATAATGTAAAGGCAGCAGATACCCAAGAAAAAATAAGATCATTTCAATGGAACGTTCATTAGTATCGATCCTTTTGAAAGTAGTAAAACATTCAGAAACACAAAAAAAAAAGAAGTTGAAAACAGTATTTCAAAGTTCTTTTCATTAAAAACAAAAGATTTCTTTAAGCGTGAAATCGAAAATTTACTTTCCCGTTCGGTTTTAACTGCTGAAAAGGAAGGTGATTACTTTCATAATAAGCAATATTTCAATAAGTTTAACTTACATTTGTTTTTGTTTCCTTTCTGGTAAAACGGAATTACTTTCCGAACACCCTAAAAATATTTCAATAAATATAACTTTTATTTGTTTTTACTTCTGTTATATTCCGTGCTAAGGGAATAAATACGTAACACCAGGTGGATACTAGAAGAAAGGTTTATTGTACACAACAAGTACAATATGAAATACGGTACAGTTATACACACAGGTCAATCTAGTAGTAAGTGCAACTAATTGGAAGGTCGGGCGTGCTTGCTGCGTCTTCGCGCTCTCTCTCTCTCTCTCTCTCTCTCTCTCTCTCTCTCTCTCTCTCTCTTAGACAGTTTACTTTATAGGTACTTACTACCTATAGTGTAATCATTCATGGGGGTGCCGGGTTATTCCATTACATCAATTTCGTTTCTGGTAAAAAATACTTGCCTGTTGGAGGCACGGTGGAGTAATGGATAGCAGCTCGGTTTGAGGAATCGGAGAGCCGAGTTCGAATTCTAGTCGAATCCATTACATTCACTTACGTGCTAATAAGGGATGAAGCCTCTTCTTCTCCCCCCAGCTATGGGTAAATAGCAGGACAGACCGGGTTCTATAGCCTTGGATGGCAACTTGCTTACCGCAGAAAGAAATGGCAACCTACCGCGGGAAAAAATCTGACTCGTCAGTATCGAAAGATACATGATCGCCTACGCATGTATCACGCATGGCTCATAACTGACTGATTGACCTGGTGCGTGAAACTAAACGAAAACTAAATTTAACACTTTCTGTATATTTGCTAAATTTTATATATACAAGATTGTTTTTTGTATAAACTTGAGGATTTCATGTTCTAATCCAAAATCCAGAACTGGCTGTCTGTCTGTCTGTCCGCGATAGATTCAGGGACTACGGAATAGATTAAAAAAAACAAAAAACAGAGGATGTCATGAGCTATGCAGAGTTGGTCAATGTCCACCCTGAAGATCATAAACGTCAAAAATAAGTTAAAAAATGACATTTCTCATGGAAGTTAAACATTTCTCCCCACAAACCACAACTATCACCAATCGGGATGAACGGATGTTCCCTCAGAGAGGCCCGTACCCTGAGCGCCTATTGAGATTTAAACACAACCCAGATCTCAAATGGAACTTGTACATACTATCCATCGATGAAGATGCTGGAAATAAGGTCGGTTCCATGAAACATCACCAGTAAGCATCTGACACCTTGCGTTATCCTTCACCTTTACAAGAGCCAGATCAGGCCGAAAAGGAAATGTTCCTGTCATAGATGAATAGAACATGCCAAGTGTTCACTTTCCAATCCCGATAGTGTACGAAAGCGTCTTATTTTCCACCCTACAACACCTTTCCCACAGACGAAAAATCACAAGCCTGTCGCTTTTTCCATGGAAAGTTTTCAGATGAACTACATTCATTTGTTCCACTAGTCCTAAACTTCACGGCTAAGGCCCGCCAAGCCACTCACATTGTAGCAAAATACTCTCATTCTCTTTGTATTCCATTGGTGAAATGTCACTTCAGCTTGAGCCACTTCTTCCTACGAACAGATGCTCTATGGAACTGACTCCTAAGAGGATGCATACCCCATCTTAATCTGTTCTAGGGTTAACCATTATCTTCCCACACATATCTGCAAAATCTATACCTCTTACTTTGTAAACCTCTACCTTGAGTTGCTTTCGAGTCTTGCACGGGGTGAACGTCATTGTAAAAAATAAACCAGTAACGGCAAAAGAAGTAAATCAACTTTTAGTTGTAAATTAATGAGTGATTACTTACTATAAGTCATTCTAACAATCTATCTAAATGACATTAAGTGTCCGTTTGTATTTTTATTTAGATGAGTTTAGTTTCCGACTAACGCTGGGTACTTCTACTAGTTATTGAAAATGGAAAAAAAGAATAAAACACATTCAATATTTCTAATGAAATAAATTTGAATATCTGACATCTAATGTTCGTTTTTCTTATTTAATAAATATATCAGAAAAATTCAAATATATTCGGGATTTCTTCTTTTTTTTGCGGTTGATAACTGATAGATGAGAGAGTAAAACTCGTATTACATTCGAAATTATCTGTCGTCTCTATTGTTTTCTCAGTTATTTACTGGGAAATCTACAAGAGGGAAGTAAATAGGCCGGTTGCAAACTAACCTCGACTTCATGGCAGTAAGCTTTCTTTCTCAAGCCAGTACAACAGATCAGTTTATGGTCCAGTTTACGAATAAGAAAGAATCAATTCATATTCATCCCACTATCACACTCTTGAATGAAACAAGAAATTCAAACGGCTATTTTGCCGATAATTCATTAGCAAAAAATAGAGATGATTGATTTATATTTTGTCATAATTCTCTATTCCAACTCGTAGCCACTAAGTCCATAAATATAGATTAAGTAATTAAAAAAAAAGATATTTAAAAACCTTTTTTTGTAAACGATTTATTCGCATGATATTGAATTAATACGATCGAACAGTTTCCAATTTTCAGCTACTGACGTTTTAATAAAAAAAATCACAAGATGGATAGACCTACTAGTTTTATTATGTATTGAAACTATTTTATTGGTTCTTGTCTTGTTTTGTTTGTTTGTTTTTTTTCTTTGGCGCGGGAGAAAACAGACAATACATTAAGTGACGTCTGCCTTGATCCGATACGCCAGCCTCGATGCAGACAAGCAAGCGACATGTCAATACGCCAGCGTTCTCATGTGACGCTCTCTGTCTCATCTCTGCCCTTGAGACGCTATAATTGGACATTCACACAGAACGGGGGAGGTGAGAGATTTTTATCTCGATCTAAAGTGTTTTATGGACGCTTGGATAGTCTTCGCAGTCGTGTCTTCTAAGTGACATTCGCTTGACCGAAAGGAAACAAACAAATAAATTTAGGTTTCATCATTTTCACAATTGAAAAAGCAAAATGTTAAAGGATAGAGGTTAGCATCAGCCATGTTGATGAAAGGCAAAAAATGATCTTTAGGTGGTTGGAATGTCAAACTGAACCCTTTACTTCTCTCGCTGGGGTAGACTGTTCTAGTTCCACGTGCCATGTCTAATGAATGTCAGTTATCAGTTATCTCCTGTTAATTCTCCTCTCCAAGACCTCCACCGCCTTAACCAGGTATTGAACTCACACTCTTTGGGTCCTGTCACTGGATCTAACTAACGCCTTTATCCACTGTGCCATATGTCCTTGGAGAAGGGAATTAACAGGAGATAACTGGTAACTGATATCCATTAGATATGGCACGTGGAACTAGAATAGTCTACCCCAGCGAGCGAAATAAAGGGTTCAGTTCGACATTCCAACCAACTGAAGAAGGTCGGAGCGTACAACGGCCGAAACGTTGTGATAAATATGGCAACAAAGATGAGGACAATAGTCCGAATAATGTAAATAGTGTATATAATACCTCATCTCAGAAATATAGATAGAGATTGTAGGTCATTTTGTTGTAACTCAGTTATCAAAACAGCAGAAAACCGGAATTGGTTTAGCAACAAGGTTATTACCTTTTAAGTACAGGGAAACATAATGTAGAATAGAAACTAGGGATGAGAATTTTTAGCCTTGAAAGATTGTTTCAAGCATAATCTACTGTGCTACAGTTACTCCTCTTGATGTAGGTATATTTTTTATGTCTTTCGTCCGACGGCTGAGTCCAAACTTGTAAGAAAATATTCTCCCTCACAACTATTTTTCAGATCAGCTTTCAATTTGGTTTTATCGAATCCATCAGACTTATTATTTAGATGGGGTAAATAGTTGTATCATCAGGCTAGAAAACGTGTGGGGAACAGATAACATCAGGAAGTTCGTTGATGTAAATATGGGACTGATGTTTCCAAGGATAGATCCTTTGGGGAGACGCCTACATTAATGTAAATGGATCTAAAGAAGATAACTTTCACTTAAGGATTTACTAATGAAAATTGAAACAAATCAAAATTTTGTCCAGAAATAACATAACCCTTCAACTTTTGAAGAAGAGCAGCATACCAAAGCCTGTCAAATGTCTTCGAAATATCTAAAGGAACAGCCCGAACTTAGCTATTCATATCTAAAACTTGACAGGCTCTTACAACAATAACTGTAAATACATCGACGTGTGACCTAGAAAAACGAAAGTCATATTGTTTGTCTGAGAGAAGACTCTACGAGTCGAGATGCTTATCCATTTCGGAGTTGATCAGAGGTTCTAGTACTTTGCCAAAGATCGGTAAAAGACTAAAGGTCAATAATTCGAAGGATCAGACGGTTCGATAGAGTTCTTATCAGCAGGAACTACCGAAGATTTCCAGCAATCTGGAAAACAAGAAGTGGCAAGGTATCTGTTGTCGAGCTTGGAGAGAACATGGGGCCGGTTCAGCGGGCGCATGTCTTAAGGACAATTGCAGGTATACCATCGAGTCCACATGTTTTGTGGGGATCAAATTTAGAGATGATAGCGGTAACTTTTCAGGAAAAATTCATTTTCTCAAACGGAAAAAAAAATATATAATAACCCGAAACGCAAAATATGTTGGTTCAAATGCACGCGCTCTCGATTTCCGAATAGTCGTACCCCTACATGGAACCACCTTTGCCGCCCGACCTCCAATATTAATGTTTTAGAAATATTCCCACCTGGGATCTTCTTCCAAACCGCCCACTCCTTCCACATTAATATCCTCAAGATATTCCAACCTAAATAATTCTATAAAATGTCTTCTAAAAATCATTAGTCTATTATTGCAACTCCTGCTTATATTTTAGCATTTTTTTTCCACCCCTGTTATTCAAAACCTCCCTAGTATTCAAGAATCGATAGTTAGGAATCTGGCATGAAACTAGTGCCCTGCACCCTGCCATTCCAGAAAAAATATGAATTTTTTTTTTTTTTTGAAAGCTTCCAGAAATTCTAGATTTCTCGTAAAACATCTTTAGAGAAATTCTACAGATGAAACAGAGAAATATCATTCAAATTAAATGATACAAAATACACTGATTGTGGTATTCGTCTAAAAATCATTGCTAATCCTTTTTAATGGGAAATAAAAGTTCGCTCAACTAATTCGCAACCGCGGCCAAAAAAATGTCACCATCCTCTAATGACAAAAACTGGAGCTTTTAAAGCAAATTATTAGACTCACGATGCTTATGGATGGCTATCTATACACATGATCTTCACTTCCTTCTATCTGCCCTTAAGTTCATATAACCCACAACATTCAGTAACCCTCTACCATGAGTGGCTCTTTTATTGGGTGAAGCTTAGCAAATTTGTATGCTATAATATCAACCGCGTCTGAGTGGAGAGTCTTTTGCAACAGAAGCATGCCACGCGTAGGCGTGGGTAGTTCGACGTGGGGTATTGGTTAGCAAGCTTGTCTCGCTAGATCAGTTATGACTGAGTGGTGAGTTCGATCCTCACTAGGTGCCCTATATTTTCGGTCTCGTGCCACATCTAGGATAAATCTTTTAAAAGCACCATTCATGTAATGGTTATCAAGCATTGTCTAGCTTTATCATTCGGCCTCGTGCCACATCTAAGCTAAATCATAAAAAATCACCAGTCGTGTAATGGTTAGCAAGCTTGTCTCGCTGAATCAATTACGACTGAATAGTGAGTTCGATCCTCACTGGGCGCCCTATACTTTCGGCCTCGTGCCATATCTATGATAAATCTTAGAAAATCAACAGTGATGTAATGGTTAGGAAGCTTGTCTCACTGGATCAGTTATGACTGAATAGTGAGTTCGATCCTCACTGGGTGCCCTATACTTTCGGCCTCGTGCCATATCTATGATAAATCTTAGAAAATCAACAGTGATGTAATGGTTAGGAAGCTTGTCACGCTGGGTCAGTTATGACTGAATAGTGAGTTCGATCCTCACTGGGTGCCCTATACTTTCGGCCTCGTGCCAAATCTACGATAAATCTTAGAAAATCAGCAGTGATGTAATGGTTAGGAAG